CTCAGAGGCCCTCTCTGACCGTGCACCCAAAGGGGCCCACTCGCAAACGGCCCCCTCCGGGTGGTCCCCCTTGCCTGGCACCCTCTGAGACGGCCTGTGGTACTGTCCAGTGTCCGTCCACTGTCCTGTGTCCCCTCCAGACAGCCAGCCACCCAGGCCGGACAGACCTGCCCTCTCGCGGTGGTGGGGGTGCAGGTGATTCTCCCTGAATGTTTGTGAAAGACATGGAGGAGGGAGGGAGGCAGACAGATGCCCGGTCCACCTCCCATCACCCTGCCCAGTGGAGCCCAGTCCTCAGCCCGAACGTGACAGCAGCCCCTCTCTGTGGGGGTGGGGTGAGGTGGGGGGGGGAAGGGGAGACAAGTAGGAGAGGAGCCGGAATGGAGAGGAGCTTCTCCCTGACACTCGGGCCCATCTCAGCCCCTCCACGAGGTGGTGAGAAGGGGGCTGCTCGCGCCCCCACCCAGCCGAGGCTCACCTCGGGGTGTAGCAGGACACAGTGACTGGGCCCAGGCTCTGGGGCGCCGCACGGCTGTGCTCGGACCCTAGTGCATCGCTCAAGACCCCAGACCATCTTTGCCCCGGTGTTGCTGTCTGCGGGATGGGGCTGGTCTCGCTGGCGCCGGGTGACGCAGCAGAGGTGTCTGGAGAGCCTTCGGCAGTCAGTGCCCAAAGCTGAGGACAAGAGCTGCCCAGTGACCCACATTCTGGAGAGGGAGCTCCCGTGAAGTTTGCACAGGGAAATCGGGTGCCTTCGAGGAGAGGAGATGGCATCGCGCCTGCTGGCGGGATGTTGGCTGAGCGGAAGAACCCCAAGAGAAAAGCGGGAGTGGGAGCTGCCTCCAGGCCTGGGGGTGCACTTCCTCTGTGGCCTCCCTCCCCTCGCGTGAGCTTCCCCTGGGGATCCTAGTCCCCCTCTGACCCTGCTCCCCTGTTACATATGCATGTGTGGGCGTGTCTGTGCCCACCTGTGCTCACGCGTGATGACAGCCATCTGGAAGGCAGATCTGGAGGCAGGGGGACTCCAGGGACGTGGGCCCACTGGACCTGCCCAGATCGTCCCACGATGCAGGGCCAGGGCTGCAGGGCGGAAACTCAGAGATACTGAGAGAGGATGAGGTTTGCCTGGCAGCCACAGCACCTCTGACGGGAAACAGATTTGGGGAGCCTAAGCACCTGGGATCCCACCCTGCCACTTTCCAGTATGACCCCCAGTCCACCCCGAGCCCCTCTGGGCCGCCGTGTCCTTCTGGCTCAGTGGGCAGAGACAAATGTCCTCCTTGAAGCACGGGAACATGAGGTTAGCAGCAATGGGCACGCACAGAGGCTTCCCGGCCGCTCAGCACAGCGAGACTGGGGTGGCCTTGACATGGTGTACCAAGAGGCCCACAGAGCACTGGCTTGGGGGCATAAAGACCTAGAATGGAGCCCGTTTGCACTGGATGCACGGTGAGGCCCTAGGCAAGCTCACCGGCCCTCTCAGCCTCCAGTGCCTCATGAGTCTGTCCCGAAGGGAGGCCAGGCTGAGGGCTGAGGCACAGGGCTGCTGGGGGGGCGGGGGAGGGGCAGGAGTCACCCTGCGCTCTGCCTGCCCTGCACCCCGGGACTGGGGAGGGAGAGGTGGGTGTGGCAGTTTGCTGCCTCTGGGCCTCTGGCTCCCCCTCGCAAAGTGGGGCTCTGCCTTCCTTGGGGCTCCAAGAATGACCACAGTGCCTGGGCGAGTGACCCTTCACAGGCAGGAGCTAGCGAGCCCTCAGGTTAGCTCAACACCAGGTGGATGCAGGACACTGGGCCCCAGGTGACACCCCACAATGTTCTAGAGCCGCGGATCCTGCCTGAGTCAGCTGTGGACAGCAGGGGCGAGTGGGGCCTGTGACCACCAGAGGGGCCCAGGAATACGCAAGGAGACTTCCACATAAACTACAGTGATAGTGTTCCCAGGCCCAAAAACAACCTGGCAAATCACCCCGAGTTGGAACTATATTCAGACAGTGCGGTGAACCTGTAACACAGGGACAAAATAAAGAAAGGCTAGCTTAAAGCGCAAGCCCCCGCAGGGCCTCAGGAGCCCGAGGCTGTCTCACGTAGATCAGCTTCTCCGGCCTCCCCGCTCCTCCCAGCTCCGAGGCAGCGGGCGCTCCAGCCGCCCTTGGGGGCCCTGGGGGCCCGAGCAGTTTCTGGCCAGCACCACCGAGGCTCTGGGCCACTTCTCTGTGTCCGTGAGCTCGCGGCCATCCTCTCCGGGGGCCTGAGCTAGTTAACACGCTTCTTTAAGATGCTTCCAAGAGATGCAGACGGGGAGAGCAGCAAAGGTCCTTGAGCTAAAGAAACCCTCCTGGAATGTCTCTCCCCAGCTTTCCCCAGGGCGCCCTGGACGGTCAGACTAGGGCCTTCTGAGCAGACACCAGGGACGTGGCTTCGTCACATTGAAAACTAGAAGACACCTCAACGTGACCACGCCAGGTGTCCTGAGGGGAAAGACCCGCTTCTGAGAAGTCCTCTGAGCGCCTGCTCTGAGCACCCCCTGTTGCAGGAGCCCTTATTTTATGGGAGACACCACAGGCTAGAGCACACAGGCGTCACGGGGGCAGCGGGGAGGAAGCCCCTCAAGCTCAAGGGGGCCCTGGACAGCTTCCAAGCAGAAGCTGGCAGGGGCCGTGGAGGGGGCGGACAGCCAAGAGGAGCCAGGGAAGACTCACCCGAGAGCTGATCCCAGGCAAGACCCCACCACGGGGCCAAACCACACCCCTCTCCTGGACCGGTCAGGCCACTCCGCCTGCCTCCCACGGGTGCTATAAACTCCTTCAGGCTCAGGCTGTGTCTCACCACAGCCCAGCTCCTTCCGTGCACCCCAGCGGCCTCCAGGGCTATCAATAAATAACTTGCGATTAAATCCTGGTTGCTGTCAAGCCCCAAGGACTCAGCTGGACCCACCAGCTCCTTTCCTCTCCCTGGGGCGATGCTGCTGCTCAGAGCGGGGTAAGCGGCCTGGACCAGGCCCTGGGCTCTGTAACCCTGAGATCCACAGCTCAGAGGGTCTCGGTGGTGCCTCCCAGCTCAGACATTTCGGAAGTCTGAAACTTTCACCCTTCTTCAGAATAGCTTATCAGCCCCAGCAGTAACTATCCAAGTCTCAAAAACAAGTTCAAGTGCAGGACCCACGTCAGATCAGGCGAGATTTCTGTACAAGCATGTTCATTGCAGCATTGTTAATAATAAAAGACTGTGCAAACCATCGCATGTCCTTAAGCTGGAACCCTACCTGCCATCAAAAACCATGAAGCGGGCCCTGGTGGCACAGCGGGTTAAAGCACAGCACTGAGAAGCTAAAGCCACTGCAGCAGGAGTTCGATTCCCACCTGCCCGGGAGGTGACCACATGGCGCGGCAGACCTCTCCTGACCCGCCCGCTGCTCCCCTCAGCAGTGTACTTCGTCGATCTGCCTGTTCTGCTCCCCACTCTGTCTCTGGTGAAGCCTCTCAAACCCTGCACCTCTGGCCTGTACCCCAGTTCTGTATGTATAAGTAAATAAATCTTAAAAAAAAAAAATGACTACAAAACGTGAGGAACTGTTTTACAAAAAAAAAAAAAAAAGGGGGGGGCTGTGTGTAAAGCACCCACGCTTGCGCACAGAGGGGAAAGTCAACAGGAATTCCCCAAAATATTAAGAGTGCTTTTCTCTAGATAGTGGAATTAGATGATAGTATTTGATTAGTTTTCTGCACGTTTCACCTATTTTTCTGTATTAGTCAGGAGAAAACCCATTACTGTGGGAAAAAGAAAAGTTGACCCTCTAATTCTGGGAGGCCAGTGACAGGCAGGGGAAGAAAATGCAGGAAATGATAAAGATAAATGTTTCATCAGATTCCAGTGGCCGCGGCGTTGGCAGATACAAATGACACAGCCAGAGAGAAGCGGGACGCAGCCCAGAGTAGCCCAGGGGGGCCCCACACTCCAGGGCCGCGGGAAAAGCAGCCCACAGACGCAGCCTCCCCACCCCAAAGGCGCAACTGCCTCCGCCCTCGGGCCCCCACCCCTCTCAGCTCAGAGCTCAGAGCTCATCCTCCCCCGCCAGGGCCTCGGAAGGCCTGCTCTGCGCCAGGCCCCACTCCGGAGCTCACTACCACAGCCGGGCCAGGGCCAGGGCCAGGCCCCCCACCCCCTACTGCACCCTCCCGGCCCTGCCCTGTGTGCCTCCCTGCCAGGGGCACTGCCTGTGCCACGCACCCCTCCACCTGCAGGCAGGTGCAATGTCGGCCCCCGCCTGGCTAGGTGGCAGGTGAGGTGGTATTTATAGACCAGGAATAAGCGGACCTTAATTCCTTTCTGAGAAGAGCAATTGGAGCTTCAATTCCCTCTTCTCTGAACTGAACAGGGGCTGTCTGCAGCTGTGACCGACAGGGCGGCACAGGCTCTTTCTCACCCCTCCCCCAACACCAGGGGAAGCGCTCAAGAACCTCAGAAGTGGAAGCATTTGGCCACCTTCCCTTCCCCTTCTACCACCCCCCTTCTCTCTGGGACACCCCGGCTGCTAGCAGCAGGCCTGCCCGCAGGGAGCCAGCCCACTGAGAGCCCGCCCTCGTCTGGCCCCGTTCCTTCGGCCAGCGCCCCAGGGCACCTCCTCCTGCTCTGCAGCCTCCACTCAGAGAATCCACCACCAGACCATCCCGTTGCTGTCCTCAGGAAACTTCAACCCACCCAAGACAGGGCCTGCCTGGGGCTGCTGGGAGGGAACCACTCTCCGGGAGGGGCGGCGGGGGCCCACACCTTGAGGAGCAGGGAAGCATGAGACCAAGCTCCCACCTCTCAAGCACGAGGCCCAGGGACTCAGAGGAGATGCTGTCCCTAGAAGAGGGTGAGAGGGAACCGCACCCCACCGCCATGGTCGTCCTGGGCTGGTCTCGTCCCCCCAGGGCAGGCAGGCCTCACCCCTCCCGGGCCTGTCCCCGCTGGGGTGGTGCCCCCACCTGGAAAGAAGCTCCTTAGCCAGTGTGTTTATATAACAACAACATAAGCGTTTTTTTATTTTTCCATTAGCTTCTTTGTTTCTTAGTATCACAATGGAATGATGAGAAAACAAGAACAAAAACCCATGAGTCCGCAAATCTCTGATAGACCCCAGAGACCTCAAGGCAGTCGAGGGGGTGGGGGAGGCTCGAATGAAGTGCCAGATACTCCAACATCATGTCTGTCCTTAGCCGGGGCGGGAGGTGGAATGGTGAGAAGGTGACTCGTCCTAAATGTCCCTGGCATCTCCGCCTCGTGACCAACACGCCTGACGTGCATGGGCCGGGCTCGCCCGTGCCCGCAGGAACGGGCCGCGTGCCCGCGGCTGTGCCGCCGCTCGGGGACGACACGGTGCCGAGACCCCAGAAGCCAGTTCTGCCAGTGGGCGGCAGGAGCTGGCGTGGAGGAGGGATGGGGCAGGTGCGAGCCCCAGGAGCGGCGCGTCGGGTCGTCCGGGACTCCGGCGGGAGGGCGGTGGCGGGGCGGCGCCTAGAGCTTCACAGTGCCGGGCGGCAGGCTGTCGTTGCAGAGTCTGTAGTAGCGCAGGTCGTTGACCAGCCTGTGCACGTTCTGCGTGAACGAGGGCAAGTCCTGCAAGACAGGCCACAGCTGCAGGCAGCCCACCAGCGCCCAGAAGCTGGGTGTGCTCGCAGTTAAGACATTTCACAGAGCTCAAAACTTCCGCTCGCTCCCACACCACACGTCAGCGAGAGCACCAGGGTGCCAGAGAACAGCAAGTACCTCCCTGGCGCCCGGCGCCCGCCCAGCCCAGACCTAGCCCCTCGCGGCCCTGACTCACCGCCTCACCACAGGCTCTCAGTGCCGCCCCCTTAAGGACAACGGTTCAGAAACATGCCCACCTGGCAGAGAGCAGGGGTCGCCCAGAGGGGGGCTCCTCTAGGCTGGGGTTACTGACTGCGAAACACGAGGGCCAAACGCAAAGTAGCATCAGTGGGGTCTGCCGGAGCGAGCCAGCCCCGTTGCAGGCAACAGCAAGGCCAGCCCTTCGAGGCTCCACAGACACGGCTGCAGGCCCCTGCCGGCCCCTGCACCTGTACTCCCTGGCTAACCGCTCTTCCTCTTCAGACTTCGGCCCACACCCCTCCCCTGCCCGAAAGACTGCTGGGACACCCACATCTCCCGGCCCCAGCCAGCGAGGCCGGCCCACGCCGTGACTGCCAGCCGGCGCTACCCTCCGGTGTGCCCGTGCGTGTGGTTAGCCGACTGCACGCAGGGGCCGGGGGGGGCTTACGCCAGCCGGGTCGAGGAAAGCGCAGCACCCGCCAGCTACAGCACGGCGGCCTGGAACTGGGTCACTGCAGCCCACTCAGCACAGACGCTGGGCCTGCACCCCCACGCCTGCCCCTGGCGGCCCTGGTCTTTCTCTCCTCACCCGATCCATCTTGAAATTCCGCCCCAGCACATTTTTCTGGTTGGCATCGACACCATCGCAGCTGGTCAGGAACTCAGGAAGGAAGGCTGCAAAGAAGCCATCGAAGTCCACAGAAGCCATGTTGTAGATGGCGATGCCGATCTCCTCCTGCAGCAGGTCGTGGGACTTGTGCACCAGGACCTGAAGCAGCACGTTCACGAACTGAAACAGCATGGCAGTCCGGAAGATCTTCTGCAGGAGAGAGGCCGCGGTGAGGACGGCGCCAGTGCGCGGGGCCGCACCCGCCACCCCGCCGTGCTCCCGCTCGGACCCGAGAAGAGCGGGCTCTGACCAGCACGAGACACAGGCCGAAGACATCTTCTAAGGGATGAGGCACTTACTTTGTGATACAGTTTCTGCTTGGTGTTGAGAGTCTCCAAGTAGAAGAGATTTTGTTTAAACAGGTGGATGTCAGGCTGAAGAAAGGACTGTCCAAAAGCCTGGGAAATGAGGCTGCTGTAAGCTGCATGGCGGGGCCTCGGTCCACGCCCTCCCGGCACCTGCCTCACACCACGGAACCCAGCCAGGGCACAGGCAGGTGCCATCCCCACTCCCCTGACCTGTCCGTCAGGTGTCTGGAAAGCCCCTGCTCCACGCACCCAAGTACTGCCCCCTGGGCCTCACTCTGTACTTGAGTGGCGCCTTGCTCCTTTCATAGTAAACCGCTACACCCTCTCGGGGGACCGAGCTTTGAAGCGAGAAGAAAACAAACCCTCGGCAGTCACAGCAGACCAAAGCCGCCCCCTCGAGTCGGCCACTTGCACTGCACGAGCTGCCCCAGACCTCTGAAACCACAGCTCTTCTGAGGCTCCTTCACACCAGCTGCCTCTGCCGGGGGCTGAGCAACAGCAAACTTCCTACTGCTTTATAGTATCTGGGCTGTAAAAGTTACCAGCTCAAGGGTAACAAACAGCTCTATATTCACCTCAAAGAGAAAACAAATTCCCTGACTCACACCGGGGCACTCTCTCTGCAGGGCCCAATGCGGAGCATGACCTGAAAGGCAGCGCCGGGCAGAGCTTCTCCCTACATGCAACAGGTCAGTTCCCTTCATATTACAGCTCACAGGCGACCCAGACACCCTCATAGCGGGCACCCAGTCAAGGAGGCACGGGGGTGTCTGTTCCCTGGAAGCTAAGGGGATGGATGCTGTAAGCACTTACATGTGTAGCCACGAGCTGCACCATAGCCAGGAGAGAAGTGCGGGTGTCCCTGCCTTCCGGGCAAAGAGACTAGGAATTTAACTAACTTCAAAGGTACAAAGAGGCAGACTGAGCTTTAGATTCAACACCCAAGGGCTTCAGAGATATCTGTGGCAGTGGCGACATCACCGGAAAGGGGGCCACACGCCAAAGAAGTAATCAGGGACCGCCAGCCAGTGGGCGCAGGACGTACCCAGAATGAGGCCTGCCACCCTTCACCAGAAGCCCAGTTACCTGCATGATGGCACTGAACTGCAGCTCGTTCTCCACCTGCTCCTCAGCAACCCCCCTCTGGACACTGGCCAGGACCGAGGACTTGAAGAAGTGCCGCCAGTTGTGATGGAGTGTCCGGAAAAGGAGCTCGAAGA